CCCCAAAACCCCAAAACCCCAAAACCCCATCATGATGACATCTGATGAAAATTTGAGTAATCGAATAATAAAATATTAAAACTACACACAAGAATGGAGCAAACTAAAATTAAAAAGGTACTTGTTACAGGAGGAATAGGCTATATTGGATCTCACACCGTTATTGAATTAATAGAAGCAGACTATGAAGTAATCATCATCGATAATCTCGTTAATTCAAGCCTTGTATGTCTCGAAAGAGTGAAAGCTATCGTATCAAAACCAGAAAACATCACTTTTGAGGAAGTAGATTTGAGAGATGCTACTCGACTTAGTCAGGTTTTTCATGAATATTTGCCAGATGCTGTGATTCACTTCGCAGCTTTGAAAGCAGTTGGTGAATCAGTTGCTAAACCTCTTGACTATTACGAAAATAATGTTGGTGGAACTATAAACCTACTCAAATCTATGAATTTGTACAAATGCAACATGATTGTCTTTTCCAGCTCAGCTTGTGTTTATGGTGACAATCCTTATGCATCAGAAACAGACAGACTAGCCCCGATAAATCCATATGGTATGACTAAAGTTATGTGTGAATAGATCATCTAAGACTACTCAAATACTAACAAGAATTTCGCAGCTGTTATTCTGAGATATTTCAACCCTATCGGAGCACACTCTTCAGGAATGATTGGAGAAGACCCTAAAGATATACCAAATAATCTTATGCCATATCTCTAGAAAGTTGCTTCAGGCTAACTACCACATTTGAATGTATTTGGCAAAGACTATGATACTGTTGATGGTACAGGAGTTAGAGACTACATTCATGTTGTAGATTTGGCATAAGGCCATATTGTTGCACTAGATAAGCAAGAGTAACTTTAAGGATATCACGTGTTCAATCTTGGGACAGGTAATGGAACATCAGTGCTATAGTTGGCTACTGCCTTTGAAAAGGCTTTTGAGACTGAAATGAAGAAAGTAATGTGCGATAGAAGACCAGGAGACGCTCCTAAATCTACTGCTTGTGCTGACAAAGTATTTAATGAGCTAGGATGGAAGGCTAAGCTTGATATTGATGATATGTGCAGAGATTCAGCTAACTGGACCAAAAAGAATCCAAATGGATTTCATGCTTAACCTTGATCAAACAATTTTCTAAACAATTTATATTGCAAATCAATATCTTTAATTATTTGGCTAAGTCTCTAATTTCAAATGAATTCAGAACTAAGGGGTTTTGGGGTTTTGGGGGTTTTGGGG